GGTTTGTTGAACACTCTTCATGTAATTACAAACAGTAGAGACTATCAATGTATATCCTATATGCAATTCTAATAAAATTCCTTTGGCAATGTAAGCTGCCTTAATAACAAAAAAAAAAAAACAAAAATATTTATATTAAATTAGATGATAAAGAAACAAATTAATAAGAACTTATCAATTCTAATAAAGATATAAAAATTAATATTTAGAGTCTAGCGATCTTAGTGTAGTAATTAGATTGCCAGACTGCCATATAAGAGGTCTGGAGTTCAAATCCCACTGTCGACGATTTTGAATAATTACTCAGACTTTTGTACCCAACTTACAGTAAACCCTGTTCGTTTCTGGAGTTGTAATCCTGTAAATCATGTTGTACCAATATCATCCGGATATTGGAAGTGTGACAAGGCATTTGGCGAGATGTAATATTACATGAATAAATCTTGATAAGATCTATGAGCAGGGGACCTGCATAGTAGAAATCCCAAGTTGGTGAAGTAATACAGCCTTCGATAGTCATATCAGCTAATGCTTGATCCAGAAAAAAAACTATTAATGAAAGATGCAGATTGAGTCAGGTGCGTATAAATTTGTTCTACAGAAAGGATCAGTAACACCAATCTGGCTTAGCGGCTAACTGAATTGGGAGGATTTGACTCGTAAAATATTTGAGAAAATAGATACAGAAAACTGGTAGAGAGCCACAGTAGGAACTAGGGTTATACAAACATCTACAAGGGTCTAAGTTAGGTGAATCTATAAAATGGGTACAGACCACTCTAGTAGGTATACTTTGAGGTTAACTAGCTCTGCGGTATCTACAATGCATTAAGTACAATGTATCTCGAGAGGATCTAAGCTATTCTGAATAAATGAATCCGTAACGAGCTAGCTAGCTTAAGTAGTTAAATGTTATAGTGACGTTAGGTTGAATTTGTATAGGTTAATGAACAGAGTGTTTAAATAGGTAACTCACAGGTGGGTTACAGGTATAGCAGCATAGTATAGAACCAATCAGGTAGTCTAATTGTCTATGTAGCAGACTACTTAAATTAGACAATGACTAAAGTTGTATATGTAGCTTATTGTACACTCTTCATATAATTACAAACAGTAGTGATTATCAATATATAATTCCATTGACAATTCTAATAAAATTCCTTCAGCAATGTAAGCCACCTTAATAGCAAAAAAAAAAAAAAATTAATATTTTTCAAATAGATAAAACTCTTAAGAATAGCTTTTTTATAATAGAAAACTTAGATTTAAAAAGTTCTACTTTATAAAAAGAAGATATAAAAGTTTTAACTACAGTCTTCCTCCTCTATAATCACCTCCTTTATAATCACAACTCCTATATTATCACACAAATTTTTAAATCAAATATTTTTTATATAAAAACACCTTTATATAATCACAAATAGAATATAATCACTATCACATTATATAATAAAAATAAAATATATTAACATATATATTATCCCTCTATAAAACCACATTTTAAAAAATACATATATTAATATGAATACCACATAAATATATATAAAATACTTAATTTAAAAACTTTAAAATATGTATACAAAATTGTATAATAATAGTAATTTGGCAAATAAGCATATGCTGCTTAAACATACGTATGTATTAGCCAATTATTTACTAAAATTACCGTATTTGACAATTTGTGTTATTTGGCAATAATGATGCAAGTAGATCGTCCCAATAATTATCGTAACTTTTGTCATAACTTGCTGTAACTATCTCTGTAATATGTAATAATTATCATAAGTTACGGCGTGTTTGCTATAACTTATGATAATTATTACATATTACAGAGATAGTTGCAGTAAGTTATGGTAAAAGTTACCTGCATCACTATCTGGCAATTTATAACATGTTTACATAATAACAAAAAAAATAACAAGAAATAATTTCATAATTATATGAGTTTGCTAAATAACATATACTTATCTGATTCCTATTGCTAACTACAACAATTACCAGGAAACATAGTATGTATGTATATAGGGATGTGAAAGTCTGGTCCAGTCCTGACTTAACTCCAAAAGTTGAGTCTTTGTTAAAGTTCAGTCCCAAGTCAGACTTTGGACTTTAATTCGTATCTGCACATGCATCTAGTATATTTAAAAAATATTAATACATGCAAAGTATGCATGAATACGTACACATTTTTTTGTTATCTAAATATGCTAAATGCATATGCAGATGTGAGTTGAAGTTCCAAGTCTGACTTGGGACTGAACTTTAACAAGACTCGACTTTTGGAGTCAAGTCGGGACCGGACTAAATTTTTACATCCCTATATGTATATAAATAGGATTTTAAACATTTAAAAATCAATACTATTTTTGGTTGTAAATTTGTGTCTGACAATAGATATCAATACATAATTTTACTAATCTAATAAGTAAATCACTGTAAGTTCTAAATTTAAGAGATTGTGATTTGAATAGCGATGTGAAAAATCCAGTCTGACTTCAAAAGTCGAAAGTTCAGTCCCAAGTCAGACTTGAGACTTTGACTCGCATCTGCACATGCATCTAATACAGTAATAAAATTGTGAATCACATTTTTTATGCTATATTAATGCATATACAAATGTCTCAAATCTGACTTGAGACTGAACTTTCGACTTTTGAAGACGAGTCAAAATAGATCAGATCTTTAGATTTAGAGTATTGCAATAAAATAATTAAAATAATAGTAGAAATTTAGTAAAAGATTGACACATATAATGATATTGTAGATTTTGTATTCTTTATACATATGGTTATAACATACGTAGTTATTTTACACAGCTAAGAAATAATGTGGGGCAAAATAATTATGAATGTGCCTTAAAATAAGTTGAAACTTTGAGACCTAGAATAAATTGTAAATATGTAGAATATTGGTTCTCGAGGTTGTGCTAGAGAAATTCTTATGTATTTATAAGTTTAACCAAAAACTCAAGACTGATAGATAGTTAAATAAAAACATACTAAAGAAATTCTTAGGTATACATATGTGCCTAAATTGTCTATCTTAATAAAAAAAGCGTAGGTTTCTTCAACAATTTCTTCTATTCTATGGGCTACGAATTCTAGTTTTTTAGATTGTTCAGAAATCAGTTCAGCATAGGTTTCTACTTCTTCTAGCATCTCCTGGAATTCAATGTCTAGTTTCCTTTGTTCTTGTTTAACATTTAATTACGGCATTTAGGCAGCTGAAATTAGTCTTATATAGTATCAAAATTAATTTTTATATTTGCTGAAATTATTGTCAAAATTTTTTGAACTCTTTTTATCAAAATACATTATATAGTATAGTTATTTCAGAGGGTTTCATATAAAAATTTAGCAATACTGAAATATTTGACAAAAATAATTTTTTTTTCAAAAATAATTTAGACACATATGTATATTCTTAGGTGCTGATTTTTTTATTATATAATATATCTGAATCCGCTGTTCATTACAAGCAAGAACTACATATTCTAACTATAACAATATTAATTTTCAAAATAAAATATGTAATTTCAACAAATATAATGCTATATTCAAAAATTAATTACTTTATTTTAATAATACTATTGCAAACTACATTTTATAGTTACTACGTATACGTATGCAATGTACTGCTTATATATTTATTTAATGCATATAATATTTTAGATATTTATTCTTCATATAATCAATATATACAATTTATAACAATTATATCTTCTGGCAAAACTATTTAATAATTTAGTTCTCATAGTTATCAGGAGAACTATCATAGTTATCAGAAAGCCCATCATAATAGAACAAATTATTGTTATCAAGAAAATCATTGTCATCAAAAAAATCATCATTACCATTGTCATTCGAAAAATCATCACTACCAGAAAAATTATCGCTACCAGAAAAATCATCACCAGAAAAGCTATTATCATCATCATGAAAATCATCATTAATAGCCATACTTTGGTTTGCTGTTTTAAAGAAGTCCGTAATAGATTTCTAATTTATAGACTCAGTAACTTTTTGTTTCATTAATAGTAAGTATTTACAAAATACTTTTAAGTCATTGTTATTAAAAAAAAAGTTATTGCATATTTGCTGTTCAGCAAACAAGGTAAAACTTTTCAATCCAATTAATCCTTCAGAAGGAGAGACTTTTGGCGGTTCTTCATCAGAATCATCTGAATCACCCTGTTTATACTCTAATTGCTTTGCTAATACAGTTTCAACAATTTGAGTATCATCCAGTGTTTCTTCTGTAGAAATATGTATATTATTAATTTTTCTGTACGCTTCTATTTCTTGTACAACCGTTGAATCTAGATCTTCAATAAGATCAACTACTAATGTATATATTTTATCTTCTTCAAGTTCAATTGATTCAAGGTACATATTTTGTGCAAGTTCAATATCAGTATATGATACCAAGAGTAAAATACCAGTTTTCATCCAACAATTTGCCATTGTTAACTCATCCACTTCATCCCACGAAGCTGCTACATAATTGATAGCTTCTTTAATATTTAATTTATTCCTATCATAACAAAAATAATAAATTTTTAGTTTAGGTCATGCAAATTTAATTTATTGGTTCTTGTAACATGAAACTTTTTAAATAGACCTGGCCGGCCAGCTTTTTTTAAAAAATTTTTATATATAACAATTTATAAAATTTTATAAAATTTTTTTAAAAAACTCACCCAGTTATTAAAACATATAAAAAAATTTTATAAAAGTTTTAAAATTTGACCCAGTCGGATTACGAAAACCAATTAATTAACTTTGCATAGCCTTATAAAGTAATAAATTTTAATTTATAAAGTAAAAAGTATATTTAATTTTGAATTTGAAATTTATTTACTCAGGATTTTGAATGTCTAGTCCCCTTTCAAATTGATCTAAGATATGTTGAATGTATTTTTTTTGATATTTTGCCTTAAAGCATTTAATAATTCCTACATCCATAGGTTGAAGATGTGAGATAGTAAGAGTAAGCAAAAATTTAATTTTAATATTTGTAAGATGATAATTAGATAAATTAGGAAGTGTATAAATACTCGTTCGGCCTTTGCCACGCTTGCCTTTACTTTGTTGAACTGTATCATGACCACGGCCATGACTACGACCACGAACACAGCTATGACCATGACTATGGCCATGACCATGACTACGACCATATCTACTTCTATTTCTATTGTTATTCAATCTAATAGAATACGGCTCTTCAGAATCATTATGACTAGACTCTTTATCAAATGAATGTGAATTCGGATCATAATAACTTGTCGCGTTATCAAGTAAAAGTAATATTTTCTGATTTTCACGTCAGAATTGGTCATCAAGATCTTTCAACTATTCTAAAAATATATCACTTCGTATCCATGCTTTCAAGTTAGCACGATATGTAACAGGTAATGTAGAATGATTTATACCAGATAATGCTCGTGGTTCAATTAAAGATCCTACCACAAGAGGCTTTAATTTTTCAGTGCCAGTTGCATTATATACTAAAAAAATAGTAATATGAGTACGATCCTAAATTTATTAACAATAAAAAGGTTTTAGTTTAAAGAATAGTTTTTGTTAAATTAATAAAATTCCATACTTTCCTTTTTCTAATCTGGATGGGGTCGAGATGCCAACGTTTGATTAGGTGCCATATGAAAAAATAGTCTTGTTTCATCTGCATTAAAAATGTCATTCAATGCATATTCTTGGATAATATTTTGTAAATTACGTTGGAATTCTGAAAGATCACTTGTTGACACACTACTAGCCTCCTCATGTAATTAGAATTTTCGCAAACTATTACGTTTTTTAAATTGCCTTATCCAACCGTTAGAGAATTTCATCTCATTATCAAGTAGTGAAAGAGCTTTAAAAAAATACATGGCTTTCTTCTTGATAATTGCCTCATTTAAAAATAGCCCACTATTAACAACCCGTTCTACCCATAACTTCATAGCTTGGTCTAGCAAAGGAAACTTTACTTTTTTATATTGAAAAGTACTAGAAGTTATCTCATTTTCAGTGACAGCTAACTATCTATCTTTTTCTTTGAGGATTTTAGAGATGGTTGAACAGTCAAGATTCTGTTGTGAATCTTAGGTATTAAAATATTCTGCAATTTGTGTTTATGTTTTATTAGAATTTTTTACATGATATTTGCAAATTTCATTTTTTAAACTATCACTAACCGCCATGTGTTTCTTTTTAGTAGATAGATTAGACATCATATCATAATAACCAAAAGATCAGGATGACTTCTCTTATATATGAGTAGTTTATCAAAACTAATGTTTTTTTTTAATTTATTTAGAAAATATGGTTAGCAGGTAATTTCTCGAGACTAGTGAGAATCAAGATTTATTCATTTCTTATATCATATCATTCAATTACAAAAGTTCTCAATTTACTTTCATTGATTAACGAATCAATTAGGATATTAATTGGCTTGTCATAAATATATAAGCATGTTGAATCGATTAACATTCCTAGTATCAAATATGAGGGAAAGTTATGATGTAATTAATCGTAATTACATATTTTATTATATTTATCTAACAGCTAATTATATTTTATGCCAATTCCGATTGACTAATATTACTAGCTGATACCTTATGAAGCATTTAAAAAAAAATTCTTACGCATATCTAATTGCAATATAGAGGTATCATCAATTAAATGTTCTATAGTCGAATATTATTAAATTATAGTACAACATCTTATGTCACAATTAGATGTGTGCAACAATATTTTTTTTTAAATTATCGCTCTTTTTATTATTATATTAAATAAAAGCAATTTTTTGATTTTTCATGCTCAAATACATTATTAACTTGTTCTATCGCCATATATTATTTAATAATAAATGCTATTTGTTTTGAATTGTAAATTTAATCCTGAAAAATCTTGAAAAATCTGACTAGTGAAATAAGATTCATAATTGACTAATTTTTTAGTTCAATAGTGATAGAATTTTTGAATCATATTTGAAAAACCAGATTTAGGTTTTCTTTTAGGTGGCACTCAGATTTAATAGATTTAATGATTATAGAAAGAAATTAATGCAAAGTGATAGTATATCATATGAGTACGTGAGAGTGAAAACCTGGAAACCAATCATAATTGACTGACTAGTCAATGAAGTGACGTAGTTAGCATTATTGTGAGATCATAGGATTTCTGTTACATAAAACAAACATAATAGCGTTAGTTGAAAAAATGAAGTAATATTGAACGAATTATGTAGTAATGGTAAATTTACTAAATTGTGACAGAATAATTTTTTAATGATTTTGTAATGAGAAATTATTTGGAGGTATAAAGTGAATTAGCTGTAAAGTTGCTATTGCTCGCTATACGATTGGAGACCAGCTATATACTCCCTCCCTACTCACTTATTCCAAACAAATACGGCTTAATAATTGTTCGGAGCTATCTGACTCTGATCATAAAATGATATTTTCTTGTGGTTTCGAGACTGCAAGGACAGTGCAACGACCACTTGAGAATTGGCTGTGACTCAAGACTGTGTTTACAGCTTATTGACTACTTGATCTAAACAAAGGCTCCTAGAACATAGGATTAAGAGCCCTCATTATTTGTTATGATATTGACATAGAAATTCAAGTTTCTTAATAGAACAATATTGAAAACTTTACACACGTAAAATTAAGTATTAATACATTATTTATTGTACAATTTTATCCTCTTTTTGCTATCAGTAACTTATACCAATTACTTACCTTATACACAATTGCTATCTTTGCTTATTAAGTGATCATTTGAAGTTAAAAACTTATTACTCATACTTTGTAATAATGAACCATATTTCTATATGTATATTTTCATTCTCACGCACTCATATGATTGAAAAGAAAAGTAAGCACACAAACTTTTCTATTACAGGTAAGACTAAAAATGTATGAAAATCAGAAGATAGCATTAAACAAGCATAGAAAGATCAAAGACAAATAAAAAGTAGAATAAAAGAATAAAAGAACCAAGTAATAGAAATATATAAGAGGGCTTGACGAAGATAAAAGAAAAGAAGAAAACTGGGATTTAAGGAGCATAGCTCAAGCAACCCAACATGAGCAAAAA